GGGAGGAGGGGGGGGAAGTCCCAATTTCTATTACAATTCACCACCTCGGGAGGTTGGCTGGGGGCAGGCGAGATCTCCATCTACAAATTTATAAGTAATATCGGTGAATTGGAAGGATTTCTCCGCCTTTGAAGCTTCGGGGGGAAGGAGATGGAGTAATCGTGATTAGAGGAAAGCTCATTTAGATTCCTATATCCTGGAGAAGATTTAATTGTCTGCGGGAGAAAGGATTTTGGGGGGCGCGGGGGCTTTCTTCTGAGCTTCGATGGGGAAGGCTGGGGCCGGGTCCCTTTAGGTGAGGGGGGGAAGGTTCCCCCCCTTTTCTGCCCGCTTTTTCCTTCCTCCCAAAACACCCCTAACGCTTTTGTCAATGCCATTTTTCCAGCCGTGAAAAGAAACGGGAATTCCACCCCGCAGAAACTCCGAGCCCCGCACGTTACCATTAAGTTCCTGAAAGCCGCGGAGGATCCAGAGGGCTCTGGTTTCCCCTGGGTTTCAGGAAATAGGGATTTTTGCCCCTCCCAGTCCAGGCCGCCGCTGTACCAGGTACAAGGGAACGCGGAGCCGCGGGTTCGTGGTGTCCCATGCCTTTCCCATGGCCTGGCGCTGCCGCGGACCCGCCGAACCGGCAGCATCGCTGTGGAGCTCCGGCTTCAGGGCCGGAAAATGCCATTTAAATACCCCCCCCGCCCCCCCCGCGGAGGATACGTGCAGAAGCGATCGTTTTATGTTTTATTTTTCCTCTTTTTTTTTTTTTTTTTTTTTTGTGGTTTTGGGGCCGTTGTTTGGTGCCTTTTTTTTTTTTTCCCCTGATTTTTTTACTTAATTTTCTTGTTGGTTGTGTTTTGGGTTTTGTGGGGTTCCTTTATCACTCACAAAAGATGTCTTTAAAGAACCTGCTCTCCTTCCCCCCCCTCCCCCGCTACACTTTAAAACAAAGAGGGTGTCGCTTACAGGGGATGCTCCTGAGCTGAAGGCCCTAATAACAATTATCAGGAGCGACATGGGCTGCGCTTCTCTCCCTCTATTTATTTCAAGTGTAGCCCATTCTAAGAGGTAAAATAAACCTGGCCCCTTAACAAAGGCTTCGTGTGGGCTTCGCTAATCCCTCCCGAGCGGCAAGGTGCTGTCCTTGTTTATTTATTTGGGCCCTGGAGTGAGGGAAAACAATAGCTCGCACCTCGGGTCTAATCAAACAATAAAGTGATCCACCTGACGGCTGTACCCGCGATGCGGGACTGGGGTCGGAGTGGGAGAACCGCACAGCGCCAGACACCTTCTCACTCATTTATACATGTATTATATAGTGTTATATTTAATGTATCTGTACGATATCGCTCGACAGAGAAGGCAATGAAGTCGGGGCGTCGGTGGCTTGAAACACAGGGAGAAACCGGGAGCTTTGCGGGGAGCGGGAGCCTAAAAGTGGGGAAGGAGGCGGCGGCTCCTCGCCGTTTAAGTGCACTACCCCTGGGCCGCCCGTGGCGTGGGGAGCCCAGTGGGTCCACTCCCCCCGACCCGTGACCAAGGAGCAGCTTGAAAGGGCTCCTTCCCTCTCATCCCGCACCCAGCGCCTCTTCCCCGCTCTTAAATAACCCTCAAAACGAGCTTTAATGGCGCTAAATCCAACGCCCGCATCTCATGGGTTGCGGGACCCGGTCCCCACGCAGGTCGAGGCTGGGGGACAAGCAGAGGGGAGGGAGGAGAGGGGTGTTTGAGCTACCTGTGAGAGCAAACAGGTAAACACCGACCGCGGGCAGAGGCTCTTCTCCTCAAGTGCAGCCCCTCCGCCTGTGTGCACCGCGCCGCCGGCCTCCTGCGGGCTTGTGCAAATAACCCGGGGGAGCGGGATGGGGGGAGCAGCCCCTGCAACCGGCCGGCACCCTCCTGCCCTGCCGCCCCCTTCCCGTAGCGCTGGAGCAGCCCCACCATTCACTTGGCTGATCCCAAGCGTGGGGAGGGCCGGGCAGAGCGACAGGGGCACTAGGAAAGGGAAGGCACAAAGGGTGGCAGGGCGCTATCGCGATAGCAGCCGACTGGCCGTCGGATTCCCCCGACATGCAGCGCTGGGCTGCATGTCGGCCCCGCGACCGCTCCTGACGTCAAAGGACCCGACCGGTTCTTACGTCACCACCCCGGCTGTTACGTCACGGCGCCCCTGTGCGGAGTGAGAGCGGCCTCGGGCCTCATCCTTGCCCGCTCCTTGGACACCCCCAAAACCCCATCCCCGTGGCCTCAGGGCTTTGTGCACCTGCAAGAGACCTTTGTTCTGCCGCTCGGTCCTTCCATACCGGGTGGCACCGGGGCCCCGCTGCAGCACCCCCCATCCCCGGGGCCGTGTACGCCTTGAATGGGCCGCGCTTCACTCGTGGGCAGACCCCGCTTCGCCGCCGTCGGGCCCCACGTCGAGTGGGGTTTGCAGGATGGTCTGCCTGTGTGGAGGCATTTGCGGGTCGGTTTGAGTTTGTGTGGGTCCTTATCCTTATTCTCTTATTCTTATTTTTATTCCTATAATTCTTATTATTCTTAGTGTTATTCTTTTATTATTATTATTATCATTATTACTCTTATTCCTCTCTATTTGTACTCCTATTCCTACTATTATTTCTGTTATTTCAATTCCTACTATTATTATTCGAAGCCCGGCTCTCCCACCGACCCGAGGAGCAGAGCTGCCCCACGAAGCGGCACACGCCAGTGGAGATGCTCATCCTGTCCCTTCCCGGTTGCCTTCCGCCGGGATTCTTTAAACCGAGACGTTATATCGCCGTGCTGCCTCTGTCGCGACTGGCACTGGTCATGACGGCAATTTTTATCCTTTGCTTACTGCGGTGGGAAGGAATTAAACCTCCTCCCTTCCCCCCCCCCCCCCCCCCACCCGCTCCGAGGGCTGAATAAATCGATCGATAAGGCCGAGCTTGGCTGGAAATTGGGGCTCTGTGTCTGGTGGGTGCCCCGCGCCCCCTTCCCGGGAGGGGGAGCGCCCTCCCAAAGGGGTTCCCTCGATATCGGGGAGGACTCCGGAATGGATGAAGAGATAGCCATTGAGTGCGGTTGAATACCATGACAACTAGGAACAACCTCAGATTTATTCCCAACAGTTAGGACACATTGAAAGAGGGCGTCAATCACGTATTATTTCGCCACTGAAATAAATGCAAAAACTGCGCCGAGACAAAGGGTTCCAACAGAAGCCGGACATTTGTCTACATTGCGGACATTGTTTCCAGCTTAGCCATAGGGTTGTATTTGTGTTTGCGCGGGTCCGACCACCCAGGATGTGCTCAGGGGCTCGCTTTAAAAAAAAAGGGGGGGGGGAAGATCCCTGGGCATTGTCAGCCACAGCACATACTTTATGGGAGGCAGGCTGGGGGCTGGGGGCTGGGGGAGGAAGGATGGGGGCAGCGGGCAGGGAGAGGAGGGGAAGGTGCGGATGCATTGATCGGCAAGCCGGGGATGTCTGAGGGACCGTCGGCTTCCTCTTCCCCACCACCAGCAGCCGCGTTCCGGGTCCCTTCTCCTGGAAAAGAAACTCGGTCCACTTTGGTTTCTCAGGAATAAAACCCCTTCCCAAATTGTCTGTGACCGCCCCCCCCTTCCGGAAACCAGCGTTATCCCCACGCATAAGCCCGTCCCGGGCCGGGCTCCAGCTCAGGGATGAGGAAGAGGAAGGAAAAGAAGGTCCGGACCGGGGTGCGCAGTGCCGAGGGTGCGGGGAAGGGGAGGAAGGATGAAAATGAAGATAAAAGTTGGTGTCAGACAGATAGAGAGGGAAGAAGTTGGGGGAACGCGGAGTGGGGACCATCCGCGGCAGCGCAGCACCGCGCAGCAGCGCCGACATCCGCAGCCGGGGATGCTGCGGGGTTCTGCGGCCGTCGGAGTGTGCCTGTTTATGTGACACCTGAAATTCCGGCCTTCCACAACGCCCTTTTGGAAAGAAGCCCCTTCACCCCCTCCTTTCCCAGGCCCCGAAAGAGAAAGAAAAACCAAACCCCCAATAAATGAAGAAAACCTCAGCTCTATTTGAAGCTCCGTTGGGCTCCAGCCCGTTAAATCAACCAAACTGGCCGGGTTTTATTCCCTTGGAAGAAGGAGGCAAAATCAATGAGACCTCTTCAAATAAAGCCCCCCTCCCTCAACTAATCACCTCCCGCATCTCCTCGGGTCGTGACTGACGATCGCATTTTGCCAGTTCGGTTAATTTCGGAGCAAACTAGAATCAATTACTCGCTGTTTAATTTCCAGCGTTCATCCCTAAGCCTCAACCAAAATATTGACCTAGGCGGTTTAGATAAGTTGGTCTCCTGCCATCTGAGCCGCCTCCCCCCTTCGGTCCATGCGATGAGCGCTGCCCCCGGGGCTGCGCGGGAGCGCAAGCTGCGCGGGGAGAGGGGGAGGGCACCTATCCCATAGTTATCTATATTTTATTTCCCCGCTGCCTCGCAAGGCAATGGGTGGAAAACGCACTTTGGAGTGCGGGGAATATCGGTGCGAGGCTCTTTGTATGTAAATACAGGGCGTAAAAACAAGGGAAAAGAGAAAATCACCCCCTCCCTTCTCCCGGCGCGCCACACACACACACCCCCCCCCCCGCACCCGCGGAAGGGCCCTCCCCACGCCGGTAATTAACTGACACGTTATACCACTCATCACCAATGGTGGAAGCTCGGAGCTCGCCCAAAACCCGCAATTTCACATCTGCAAACACTGTCTTCATCCACTTGACTCCCAGGACCCGCCCACACGTGGCCAACCTTGCCCGGGTTTAATGTAGGTTTTTTTTCTCCCTCCTCTCGGCAGGTTCATGTGTGGGGACCAGCCTTACACGGACTGCTCGCTCCAGCAATGGCTCGGCTTCTCCAAGCGGCAGGCGCGGGCTCGGGGTGTTTGAGCAACAGCCAGAAGTGATTTATTTTTTCCTTTTTTTTTTTTTTTTCAATTTTCTTTTTCTTTTTTTTTTTTTTTTGTATTTTTTTTTCGCTCCCTCTTTTTTTTTTTTTTAATTTTTATTTTTAATTTTTGGCGTGCCTCTCCCCTTTTCCCCCTGGAGTTACAAACTATTTCCGAAGCTGCTCCCGCTCTCTGAATTTCCCCCCGTGGCACAACAAGCCCGTCCGTGGAAACCACCACCGCAGAGATCCACCGCGGCGGCTCCGCTTCTTCTTTTGCACCAACCGCTTCGGTTATCTCCCTATAAACCTGTGTTCCCGTTATATTTACCCCCCTTTCCACGCGTGCCTCCCCCCCCCCCCCCGCCCCGCTCCCCGCGGCCGTGCGCTGCGGGGCTGTCTCCGCTCCGCGTGTGCGTGGTTCCCGTGACACGGCGGGTCGGCGGAGCCGCTCCTCCAACTTTCCCTGCCTAAATTTGGCCGGAACATGTCTCTGACCAACACAAAGACGGGGTTCTCGGTGAAGGACATTTTGGACCTCCCCGACACCAACGATGAGGACGGCTCCGCTGCGGAGGGGGGTGAGGAGGAGAGCGAAGCGCCGGAGCCCCCCAGGAAAGCGGGGGTGCTGGGGCAGACCCCCTTGGACGCTGTGCAGACGCTGCCTTTGAAGAACCCCTTCTACGATAGCAGCGATAATCCCTACACGCGATGGCTGGCGAGCGCCGAGGGCATCCAATACTCCCGTGAGTACCGGCGGAGACGGGGCCGCGCAGCCCCACACTCCCGGCGGTGGGGCAGGAGGAGTCGGGGAGGTGTCTATGGGGTGTTGGGGGGTGGTCGCCGCTCGCCATTGCTGGCTGAGCCCCGGCCGGTGCCTCCATCCGCCCCATGCCGCGGCGGGGAGAGCCGAGCTGCCCGGCGCCGGCGGGATGCGGGGAGGGATGCGGGGTGCGGGGGGTGCGCAGCGCGGAGCTCCCCCCCGTCCGCTCCCCCTGACGGGCAGCTCCCGGTTGCAGTGCACGGGCTGGCGGCGGGCGGCGGCGGCCAGGACCCATCGGCCAAGTCACCGGAGCCGTCGGCAGACGAATCACCCGACAACGAGAAGGAAGCAGCGGGCGGCGGGGACGCGGGGAAGAAGAGGAAGAGGAGGGTGCTCTTCTCCAAGGCGCAGACCTACGAGCTGGAGCGGCGGTTCCGGCAGCAGCGGTACCTGTCGGCGCCGGAGCGGGAGCACTTGGCCAGCCTGATCCGCCTCACCCCGACCCAGGTGAAGATCTGGTTCCAGAACCATCGCTACAAGATGAAGCGGGCCCGGGCCGAGAAAGGTATGGAAGTGACTCCTCTGCCCTCCCCGCGGCGGGTGGCCGTGCCGGTCTTAGTCAGGGACGGCAAACCCTGCCACACGCTCAAAGCTCAGGACTTGGCAGCCGCGACCTTCCAGACGGGAATCCCTTTCTCCGCCTATAGCGCCCAGTCCCTACAGCATATGCAATACAACGCCCAGTACAGCGCGGCCAGCAACCCCCAGTACCCCACAGCACACCACTTGGTACAAGCGCAGCAGTGGACTTGGTGAAGGCTGGAGGGGAGCGCGCATCCCCCCGCACCCGCGTACCCCCCATACGCGAAAAGAGGAGGAAACCCCCGAAATAATAAAGCGAGACAGAGAGGGAGACAGACTGATGCTCCAAAAATGAAACTCAAAACTGCGGGGGAAGGGATGGAGAGGGAAACGCTATTATTATTATTATTATTATTGCTATTATTATTATTATGTTGTTTGGATTTGTTTTTTGGTTTTGGTTTGGTTCTTTTTTCCCTCTCCCGTTTCTTTTCCCCTCTATTTTTCGGGGGGCGGCTCGGTTTCATTTCGGGGGGAGGCAGGGAGGGGGGGAAGGGAGGGGAGGTGTTTTTTGTGCGTCATTGTTTACAGAAATTTTTGCGCCATTCAGTGGTCCTGTCTACCTACAGCTCAAATAAAGGGGGGGGGGGGGGGAATCGTCAGAATTAAACAAAAAATAAAGGAAGAATAAACCCCGCTCCCCGCTGCTCCTGTGGTTTTGTGAGGACCGGGCGGGCACCCGGACACGGGGGGCTCGATTCCCCCCTTCCATAGGGATGCTCGTCCCCGTGGAGCCCCCGGTAGCTCAGAGCGGGTGTGTTTTGTGCCGTGGGGAGCGGCCGGGATGTTGGTTTTGGTTGAGCTCACTTAGGCGTTGCACACAACTAGTCCCGAGTAATCGGGAGCAGAGGGAAAAGAAACGCGGGTTAAACCCTCGCCGTTCACCGCCGAGGGGAAGCTGCTCCTTCTGCGCGATATTTTAATACGAATTTTAATTTTATTTAAGGAAATTTAATGTCATCTTTTAAGGAAAACATTTCACATCACCGCTAACGGCCCGCCGGGTTTGTTCGCCTCCTCGGCCGCCTCACAGCCACGTTTCGGCGTGGGGCCGGCGGGGAGACGGAGCCAAGCAGGGCCCCCCGGCAACTTCTTTCTTGGAGGGGCAAAATGGCTTTTTTCGGGGCGTTCGGCTTCATCCCGCTGGCGAAAATCGGGGCGAGAGGTTAAAGGATTATTGGGTATCTGTGGCTTTGCTTTTCCACCCCCCTGTGCCCCGTGGTGCGGGGTTCCCCTGCCGTAGTGTGGGTACCATCATCACCCTCCTCACCCCGCGTCCCCCCGCGTCCGTTTTGCGCAGAAGGGAGCTCGGAAACTTCGCGTTCAGCCCTCGGGGATGCGCCGGTGGCTGGGGCAGGTCGGGGAAAGGGGAACACTTGGGGTACCCCCCAAAAGAGGGGGAGAAGCAGCAGATTTGGGGGGTGCGGGTGTTGGTGGCCTGGCCGCCCTGGAACGAGGACTGGGCCCAGCCACTGGGAAGCGGCGGCCGTTTTCGGGCGGTCGCGGCTCCGGCTCGGAGCGGGTTTGTGCAGCGCCGGGGCGGCTGCGAGCCCTTCGCCCTCCGCTGCGGGTTTTAGGCTGCTGAAGATGCTCAAGCACCAAACAAATGCATCAACAAACAGGGGTTGTGCGGTGCGGGAACCGCCGCAGCGCCCGCCCCGTCCTGCCGCTATCAAGCCGAGCCGAGCCGAGCCGAGCGGAGCCAGTTCAGTTCAACACCCAAAGCAAAGAAACGATCGGTACCGGCCCCGCCGTGCCCTTCCGCTCCAATCCGCTCCGGAGCACCCTCCGCCGGCCCCAAACCCGGCAGCGCCCCGCGCTGCGGCTGGGTTGGTTTTACCCTTTTCCTGCGTTTATCTCTATTTTCATCCCCCTTTCCCTTTCCCCCTTTCCCCGCCGCGTGAGCCCGTCCCCAAACCACCGAGGCCAGGCAGCCGCTCGGTGGACGCCGCCGGTGACTTGCCCGTGCCCCGGCGGGGATCCACCGAGGCAGAGCCAGCCCGACAAGCGGGGAACCGGCCTCCAGCCCCGGGGAACCTCCGCCGGGTCCCGGAGCAACGGGGGAACACGAATACGTGCGGGTTTTCCCCTTTGCAGCGCCAACGTCCGAGGCAGGAGCGGAGAGAAGGAAAACTGCCACTTCTTGATTATTTTCCCCCTGTTTTTTCCCTCTTTCTCTTCTCCCCCAGGCTCTGCTAAGTCTATAAAACCAGTTGTGTGGCCCTAACCTCCGTGGCCTTATATCTCCCATGCTGCCGGGCCAGCTCCGGGCAGTCTATCTTTGCACAATATACAGTAGACTTCACAAAACAGCACAATGGGGGAGGCAGGGAGGTGAGCATGTTAGAGGCGTGCATATTAAAGAGATGGAGGCCAAGGCAGTCAGGGCCGGGCCGGGAGTGGGGAGAGAAAGAGGAGAGACAGTCTAAGGGGGGGGTGGGCCCCCTCCCTGTGCCTTCCCTCCCTTCTTCTCCCCCTTTCTCCCTTCTTTTTGGGGCCATTCCATTCATTTCGGGGAGGCAGTCCATCCCGGAGTCAGGGAGCAGTGTCCTTTGCGTTTTGTTAGGGCTGTCACTCGTGCTCATTGTTAGGCGTGTTCTACATGTTGTATCCCATATGGCCAGCTGGGCCGGGGGACCCCTCACAAAACCCAAATTGTGCCCAGCTTTCAAACCCAGCATTGTTGTCTGTGAAAGGAAGACGAATTAAAAATTCGTGCTATATCTATTCTGGAAGGCAAAAAAAAACCAAACCCGGGGGGTGGGGGGGACCCAAGGAAAAAGAATCCCTCTCTCTTTCTCTCCCTCTCTCCCGCTCTCTTTGAAGGCTAACAGAGGCCTCCTCTTCTCCCGGTCCCCGCTGACAAGTTTCTCTCTCATTTCACAGGAAATTAGACTCTCCCCCCCCAACAAGACCCAAGCGCATCTCCCCCGTAAAACCCGCGTCGGGGCCCGCTCCTGCGCCTCCGGCCGGGCAGCGGAGCTCGGCTGCGCGGGGGCTGCGCGGGGGCTGCGCGGAGGCAGCGGCGGGCAGCAGAACAAGGCTGCATTGAGGGCCCGGTAATGTTATGCAGGCGGCCTCCCTCCGCGGCCCGGCCGTACCGCGCGGCGGGCTGGCACGTCCCGCTTCTGCCCCGGAGAAACGGCTCTTTCTTGTCGTAGCTCCTGGTTGTGCAAGGCAGGCCGCCGGGGGGGGGACGGGACGGGAGGGGAGGGAGAGAGGGGAAGGGAGGGCAATGGAAAAGGAAAAAAAGGGGGAAAAAAAAAAAGAATGATAAAGAAATATGGGGGGTAAAGAGGATTTAGAAAGCGGGGGGAGGGGGGCGAAGAAAAGGGAAAAAAAGAAGAAGAAACGAAAAAAATCCTGAAAAAAAAAGAAACGGAAAACGAAAAAGAAAGGACAAAAATAAAAAGAAAAAGGAGAAAAAAAGAAAAAGGGATAAAAGAAAAGGAACCAAGAAAATGCGAAAATGAGCAAAAGAGAGCAAAAATGAGCAAAAGAGCAAAAAGAAACAGGCAAATAAAAGAAAAAAGAAAAAAAAAGAAAAAGAAAAACATGAAAGAAAAAAGGGAGAAAAGCAAATAAGGCAAGAAATAAAAAAAAAAAAAAGCAATAAAGACAAGAAAAAGGACCATAAAAAGAAAAAGGAAAGAAACAACGAACAAGAAAAAATGAAACACCAAGAAAACAAAACAACAACAACAAACAAAAAAAAAAAAAGACAAAAGAAAAAAAGAAAATGGAGAAAAGAGAACAAAAAAAAGAAAAGAGGAAAAGATGAAGAGGGGGACACCGCTTTCTCAACCCAACTGTCCTTGGCACTTCCAGTCCCAGGCAGAGGGGCTGCGCAGCGCTGCTCGGGCGCGCTGGTGACACCGGCCGCCCCGCTCCGGCCGTCACTGTTGGCATCAGCCTCCCCTCTTTGCCCCGCTACCCCCCTTCACCCCCCCGGTACCCCCCTCTCCACCACCGCCAGCCGCGGGGGGAGCCGCACCTCGGCAGAGCCGCCCGTCGGGTCCGCATCGCGCCACGCTCCGCTGATCGCGACTTGGTGCAGAAACCTGTTTGCTAGGGGGGGGTGAGGAGCTCTGGGTCCCGCTCCTGGGGCTCCTTTCCCTTTCCCCCCCCTTCCATCTTTCCCCTTTTTCTCCTTCCGCCGCCCTCTCGCAGGAAGGGAGCTGCTCAGGCGGGCGGATCACCTGCTAATGAGCTGGAAGCCCCTTAAGCCCTGGAAATAACTTACTTCGTCACCTATTGACTGTTTGGCTTAGTTTGGAACCGGTGTGGATTTTTCGGGTCTTTTCAAGAGCTCCGGTCAATGAAAAGCTAAGCCAATATTTACCGAGTAGAAGGGCAACTCTCGGCGGTGTTTATTAAGGGGCTGGTGGGGAAGGGCTGCGGGGGGGTCAGAGTGCGGGGAGACCTGCTCGGGGCAGCTGGAGCGGCGAGATACGGCCCGGCCGGTGATGCGGGGAGAGGGCACTTGTGGGTCCAGGTGGGCCATGCTCTCCCCTCATCCCCTCCCCTTGTTATCCCGCATCACCTCCAGCCACCCCAGCACTCACTCCCGTTGTTCCCACATTGCCTCCTGTTGTTATCCCACATCCCATCCCGCTATCATCCCTGCATCCCTACATGTTATCCGCACATCCTCTTCTTTATCATCCCTGCAAAACCCTCCGTTATCCCGCATCACCTACTGTCACCACCACACTCCCTTCCGTTATCCCCACATCCCCTCCTGTCGTGATCCCACATCCCATCTCGTTACCATCCCTCACCCTCTCCTGTTGTTATCCCACATCCTCTCCCGTTACCGTTTCCGCATCCCTCTACGTTAGCCCTCCATCCCTCCCTGTTCTCCCCGCTCCTGCAATCCCCACTCCCAGCCCCGGTTCGCCGCTGGCTCCCCAGGCAGAAACAGCCGGGGGGTTATTGCTCCCCGCAGCAGAAGGATTTGTGTTAGATGTATTTTTTATGTATTTGATGTCATTCCACACCCCCACACCCCCCATCGGCGAGCAGCGGCCGCAGGGAGGCAGCAGAGCCCCGCGCAGCACCGGGCGCAGCACCGCTACCCCTCCGCGCTCCCCCGGGGCCGAGGCAGGGGGGAAGCGGCTGGATCCGAGGCGGTGGCACCGGCCCCGACCCCCGTCTCCACCCCCCGTCGGGCTGGGCCCCGGGCGGCCGCAGGGCGGCGCTGCCGGATAAGGGACGCTCCGTCAGGGCCGCCCCCCCAAGGACTCCTCCAGTCAACGCGGCCGGGAGCCTGCACAGCGTCACAGCGGGGAACGGGGCCCTTGGACCAGCTCGGAGAGAAGAGGAAGAGGGATGGAGGATGGAGCCAGGAGGGGCTGGGCTCTGCTCCCAAGGAACAAGG